GTTCGAAAGACACACGAAATGGAGCGCGATGTTATGAAAGCCTTTCAAAGTTTTCGGCGTGATGAAGGTTTTCAACGGCCTCGATCACCAGTGCGAAGGGAACATCAACGATCACGAGAGTATTCACATGAACGCAACTATGACTCTCGCAATGAAAGATCAAGAGAACGTTCCCGCGAAAGGACTCGTGACTATCATAACGAAAGAGATGATAGATCACGCTCGCGAGATCACGATTACCGAGGCGGCAGATCATGGGTGCGACACGGAGATCAAGTGATTGAGACCAGTGCCCATCGTCGCCATGTACCAGATAACCGACGACGAGATGAACCTCGTCAAGATGAAACGCGCAGGGATGAACCACGTCAACAGATACCGATGGGAGTTGGTTTTTGCCACCCAAAGGTCAGAGGGTTCACACCAGAACGACGAGAAGGAACTTTAGCGGGACCTGCCCGAAGCCGCAGCCCATATGATAAGGGATGGCAGGATGATATGAATTACTTTGCCAGTTTCCCGATCAACCATAAACGAACTTCGAGTGGAGAACGCGACGATACTCCGCCGAAACAGCCGAAAGTGAAATCCGTGGTTCACATGGTAGAACCATTGATCGTGACGATGGATGAAGATGAACCGATGGAGACATCGTCGGTTGATAACGTCGTTCATAAACGGAACGTAGTATTAGATCGCGATCTCGAACCATCGACATCGTCGCGACGTGAGCAGGAAGGTCCTCACGAATCGCAGAAGGAACCGGATAAACGATATCAGCCCGAACGTCAACGTCAACAGGAACGACCTGATCGACGACGCGAAGATGGTCGCCGGAGAGATCAGTCTCGCTTTGATAACTCACGTCGGAGGCTGATCAGTAAAATGTATGATATGGACGATATTGAAACCCAAAGAGCGGAAATCTGTCGCTACTTTGGACTGGAAATTGAATCGGAGCAGTCAGTGATGATACATGCGCAGCTCCATAACCTTCGCCAGTTTCTACGGGATTCTAATTACGAAACGGATCTCAGAGAGAGCAACCTCGGTCGCCTGGAGATCACCACTGAATCTGCGATGGCGTGTTACACACCCATCCGACAATGTGGCTTACCGAGTCTCCTCGACTTGAGCTTATGGGAAGTCCCACTGGATACAATCGACAATACGGGACTTACACAGTTCCGCTACCAAGAAATTAAGGAGCGAAGTCTATACGTGGCACAATTCGTGCTACGTAACGTGAATCCGGCATTCAAGGTACTTGCGGCACGAGCAGCCATTGGACTGACGGTTGACCCTACCGACTACAAATCACGAGTTTTCGGTCAGAAGGTCTTTGCTGCGAGATTGGGCCATTTTCCTACACAGAATCAGTTGTTTTCGAACTTTACGAAGGGGGAAGTTCCGCCTGTGTACCGGGAAAAGGTTGCTAAACTAGGGATGCCAGCGCGACATCAGGCGATCGCACGTAAAGCAAACGACGAATTGGCGATCTGCAAAAAGCGATTTGATGATTGTAACCTCCATGAAATACACGAAGCACAGTACCAGGAAAGAATCAATCGAATCCGAGATACTATGGACACGCCGTATATCGAGCCGCAAGATCGAGTCCATGAGTACGTCGAAGATCACCTGGTATGGAAGGGATCGAAACAGCCGACAACTTCCAAAGTTCCGAATACACCGGGCAGACGAGCTGCTCGAAACCAGAATATCCGGAACCAATATGAGGACGCCAGACAACGGTTGGCAGAAGATCCTCAAGATCGAAACTTGCAACGCGAAGAGAACGATGCACGACATCGTTTGGACGCGATCAAACGCTCACGACAAGGGAAAGGTCGCGGTCCACGACACATCGTCTTACGTGTTCAAGCGGATGAGGACGCACCGGCTGAATCAGCTGCACCAGTTGATCGGACTTCTGATCGAAATCAGCCGGGCTCAACGCGCAAACGTCCACCGCGAGACAAGGACGATGGAGATGAGTCGAACGAGATGATGGATCAGTAAAACTGATTAATAGGAGTTGTTACGGCTTATGTCGGCATCCCTATTTATCGACTCATCTTAGTTAAGAGTAGCTACGGTACATTTGGCCGGCTCTCTAAATAAGGCAGAAGAGATGGATTGTGCGACGAGATGAACTTTACCAGGGAGGCAAGCTGAGATGAGCTTGAAAGCCGATGAAAAATGGCTAAGTTTCTCCATGACCTATGCTGAATGAACCGTACCAGACGACGTCGCACATCCACGATCAGAAAGATGATCTTACCAGGGAGGAAGCGAACTTCGCTTGTCTATATGACGTCCCTCCATGACTTAACCGGATCTCATTATAAAGTCGTACAATTGATACGCACCTATTCCAAAGCTGAAGCAGTATTCCTAAGTCGTACATTCGATACGCACCCTATTCCTAAAAGCGGATGTGATGAAAGTCGCACGAAGATGCGCAAAGATGCTCAAGCGGAGCGACGTTGCTCAAGATGGAGCGGAATGGGCCAAAGAGATGTGGAAAACGGTGGACAGGACCAGTGACCTACGCGAGTCAATGGAGGATCCTAGTCTACATGTTTCATTTAACTGCATCTGTTGATCTGTTATAACTGTTGATCTGTTTATATGGAATAGTATTTTTATACAGATCTCTTTATTTCACATTGTGCATTTGGAATCATGTGATAAGAAGGAATAAGAGATTTGATGTTTTTTTTTTTTACGAGAGCGCGCACAGACCACCGATCGGAGCGGAATGGAATGGATCGAGCTTCGACGGAGCTCAGCCTCCCACCCAGAGGCATGTGAGGCGATGGCTCCCTTGCGTCCACCTGCGCGACGCTACTGGCGCTATAGGAGTGCTTCGTTGCACTACTCCGTGGGGAATTGCCGTCTGTGACGCAGCGCCTCTCTGATTGGTCGGCTACTGCCGTTCATTGTGTTCACTGCTGCGCAGTGCTTTAGAGTTGTCGAGAGCAGGTGGAATTTGGCTCTCTGAGTTGACTGAACGTCAGTGTGTTGGTTTTCATGATAGAGAACGTTAATAAAGTGTACTACGTAGACTGGATATCGTGCGTTGTGCATTTCTTCCCTAAAACGTCACGTATTACACTCCACGGAGTCCTGTCAGTCTGGGCTACCGTCCTGGACTCTTTCACAGTCCACGGTGATACTGGCATTACTATTATGTTAAGGCATTCTATTAAATTTATGTCAAGCGACCAGCAAAGCCGTATACTTGCCAGTTAAATGTATTAAACATTTTGTAACAACACAGAGTGCACTGCCAACGTATAAATTGGTTTTTACAAAAGTTTCGCCTTTGCCAACAAAAGGATGTAATTTCGATACAAATTTGTGCTGATATAAAACCTGGTTTCTAATCGGCTGCCCAAATCTTGCCGTCGATTTATGTTGTGAGAAACTACCGATATGATGTAGTATTTTGATATAATTTAGAAAATACTTTTTGACGTGGGAGCTACCTGCTCAGGTTGCCGCTGGATTTTGGCTTGTATGTTAAACATTTAAAGGTTGTTGTGCAATAGTGAAGCCGCACCCATTTATTACAGTACGAGTACCTTGATAAAAATGTTTAATGTACAACCGCTTTCCCAGCGAGGTTTTGCGGCTGCGGCGTCAGTGAACTTACCTATATGTATTTACTCAGCGATATGGTTTGCCAGTAGAGTGTTAGCAATTGCGGTTAGAAATCAGTAAAGTAAAGAAAAAACGATAAGATTTGTAAACATCTGCTCCTCTAATTTATAAAAGAAAGGAGCACGGACGAAATGCCGGTATAACTCTCATAACAAACGGTACGGTTCGTGGCTTCACGTACATTAGACCGTACAAGTACTAGAGTATACTTACTCGCATTTCAAGGCTACTACAAGTTTTACATCAGAAATTCATTCAAGTATGCCTGCAGCTATGACACAGCGCAGTTTGTTGACTGGGGTTGATATTGCGTACATGGGTCAAATAATGCCGTTTCCTCAATCATTTCGCTTTTCTAGGCCGTTTAATTTGACATGATAACGCATTCTGAGAGTTCCATGCAGCGGCTTTGTAGCGACAGCTGTTCCCCGCTGTATAAGGCATGGGTATTTTCTATCCCCGATAATAAATTTTAAAAAAAATCTGCTTTGCGGCTAGCGCAGCCAAAAATATCGCAAAGTACTGACGGATCCCATTTCATTTTCCTTACATTTTAACTAGTGCTAGCGTCTAGCGTATGATCGCCAAAATTAGTACTTAACACAGACGGACATAATATTACCATACACATTACACACGGTGACAGCTAATGGTTCACAACAAGGCACTTCCTTTTCTTTGGTGTGTTTTCACTGCCTTCCCTTTCAGCCCCTGAACTGGCGCTGGCACGCCCTAGCGCGTTTATTAACGAGTCACTTTTGGTAACAACGAGTTCATCGCTGAATTGTAGCAGCGCTAATGCGACAAGCACGTGCTGCATTATCGGATCGAAAACTTTTCAACGAAAGTGTAATGCAAATTGTGTACATACCGGCAAAGCAAATGACCGCTCCTTGATGAAACGAAAGTGCCAAGAGGCACCGTAGTGGAATTGCATTTTAAAACAATCCGCATTTTAAAACAATCCGCTCCTGGTTAGCTTTTAATGTGGAACACACGAATGGCGAACAACAATGGTTAAGCGCTAAAAGGTCGAATTCATTATGGATAGTATGACAACCCATTACGAAAATTGCCATCTCGTGGTTGTTGTTGTTCCAGCTTCTGTTCGTACCACCAGCACCCACTCTAACGCACCGTGACTTATTGACGTAGTCAGCCGCCGGTGCTGCTTTTCTTTATAAATTTCCCAGTAACCTGCATCGTCATAACGTGGGATGAAGCGCGTGTGTAACATCTTTTCGACATTTAAGCCCACATCATCTCCGTTCGCCGGCTAATCGTTGGATAAAGAAAATTGTTCCGCTCGACTTTTTCTAACAAGCACAAAAATGCCCAACACGACGAACATTACAATTCGCCCGTATCTCGTCGCATCCAACTGGGACACGCTGCAATCATGGACAGCCGGTTTCTGTACGGCGGCTATCCTCGCCAACGCTTTTCTTCTGTACATCCTCATCGCAAAAATCCGCCCGTGGACGCCGTTCACCATCTACGTGGTGCTACTGACGATTGCTAATATCCTCAACGGAATATTACAAAACCCGGCATCGTTGTTGATCAAAGACGCGCTACCCTTTCCGCTGATTCGCCCATTCTGCATCGTCCACTTGTTCCTCCGCATTCCTATTGGACTGTTGCTGCCCATCGGCCACATGCTGATCTGCGTCAACCGCATCTTCGCCATCGTCACACCCATTTTATATAAACGATACCATACTAAAAAACTAGCGTACTGGATTTCCGGATTGCTGATTCTTGCGGCTGTTTTTATCACCGTTCCCGGCGTATTAATGGACGCGCAGTTATACCGTACTGCGATGGCGGATAACCGCTGCTCCATGATGTTCGCATCCTCATTGATGCAGCTGTGGTCAACAGTGTATGGAGCCCTGTTCTACAATGTGCCGGTCATGGTGATTACGCTGAGTTATCCGTTGTTCATTTGGAAGAAATTTTGCCAGAGGAAGCGTAATGTCCGTCCCACGGAGTATAACAGCCGCAGCGTTGTGAGTACCAATAAGGCGACCAGCACCTCGGCGGTCAAGACTAGGAAAGCGTCGGGACGGTCTTTCGCCATTCTGACGGTGATGACGGTCAGTGTGACCGTGTGCTGGACACCGTCCAATGTTTATTTCTGGATCCATTCGCAGGATTTTTATTTCTTTGCCGTGGTGAATCTGTTGAAGCTGTTGCAGTCGGCTATCGATCCGTTGCTGTTCCTGGCTACGATGGTGGAGCTGCGGATCGCCAGTGCACAAATTCTGCTGTTAGGTCGACGAAAAGCCTAACCGTAAACATGGGCGTCTACTCCAGTTCGAGATAACAAGTGCCGTAGTCTGTTACAGCATGCAGAACGAATTTGTGCTTACCGCTAACCGCTAAGCAGTTGGATCAACAGGACTACAAGTATCTTTTTTAATATCCTGCTCTGCTTAATGGACGACGGTGTTAACATTGTCGCACCAACACCTTAAATCGTAAAAATAATATGTATTTGCAGCACAATGGCAATTTTTGTGTAGTACAATAACAACATCCTGTAAAACTAATTCTTTCCGATTTCGTGGTAATGTATAGATATGCACGTGGTTTCTCTATTATTATTATAATATTATTATAATTCTGAGTTTATCTAGTTTTGCCGCCTCCATCGGTTTACTTCAACACAGTGTGCATACCACATATGTTTGGAGAACATTATGTACTGTACATATTTTTAAAAGTATGTAGCATAAACATGAAGTACATGCATGGCTACAACGCACGGATGGCATCTTCTCGATATTTAAGCCCACATCACCTTCCTTCGCAGGGCAGTCGTTGCAAGGAATCATCAAAGTAATTGTTATGCTCGACTTTTTTTAGCAAGCACAAAATGCCCAACACGACGAACACCACAATTCGAATACCACAATTCGACCGTATTCCGTCGCATCCACCTGGGACACGCTGCAATCATGGACAGCCGGATTCTGCACGGCGGCCATCCTTGCCAACGCTTTTCTCCTGTACATGCTCACTGCAAAAATCCGCCCGTGGATGCCGTTCATCATGTACGTAGTGCTGTCCATGCCAATCACAATCCAACACAGCACACCGAGACTACTGTACTCATTTCCGTATCAATCAAGCTGGTCAAAGCAGAATGCTGTTACTTACTTCGCTTGTTTCTTCAGGAACAATATTTTTTGGCTTGCACAGTGCTAAGCGATTTTTCGTTGATTGAATTCTCTCAGTTTTTCACAATATGCTAAGCACATTATATCATGTTTGCCGACAGTTTGCGCCGTGTCAGCTCTGATAGGTGGTTTTGTGCATTTTTCATTTTCGCTGACCAATGGTCACCTTGCTGACCATTTGAATTGCTGAACTAAATAGCGCTCGTCAAGGCGTTCTGCTTAAACTAGACTAAGTTCTTGTACGATTTTTTAATCAATTGTTACTTGAGTAAAACTAGACGATGCCAATTGCCTTAGTTCACATGCGTGCCATTCTGGCATCGTGATGTCCTGCTTGACCTATGGTCAAGAGAATTTCACAGAAAATAATTTTTCTTAATTGAATTTTTTCGTCGAGGAATACCAGTTTTCAAATCAGTATTCCTATCCCTTCTAGTACCCGGCGTTGGTAGGTTAAGTGAGTATCGAAGTGAGTATTAAGTGACTGTGTAAGAAATGTATGTTTAAGATTAAAAACGGTGATGCAGAAAATGTGTCATTTACATAATAGACAATTTGGGCATGCTTCGACCGTAGCAATAGCAATAGCCGTATCCTTTGGTCTTGGACCGAATGACGGTCCGAATCGTCATCAGCTACGGTTTCAAAGCTACGGCACGGTCACTGCAGAGCTGGCATTGACCGTAGAAAAGACAAGATACGGTCATCCTCTTTTTTCCATCTGCCTTCGCAGAAGGGAACAGCTACCTACGGGGAGACTAAACCAAAAATGTTCGGAAAACAGTGGAGGTTTTTTTGGATTATATACGAATTGTTACTTGATTATTTTGTATTTTTAAAATGATTTCTAAGTAAACCACCTGGTGATCAAGCCAACCACCATTCACAGCGCATCAAGTCACTACTCTGTACAAATCACGTCGTGCCTCGTTTCCGGTTTGACACGGAAAAACTAAAATTACAAACTCTACATCTCGACTGTTCGTATGAGCACACAGTACTTAGTACTTACATATTTTTAAGCATTGTATTAAGTACAGTTTATGCTAAAATGGGGAAATTTTTTGAACGATTGATTTTACTTCATCATTTGGGACGCTTATCTAATCGTAAATGTGCTCTTCTCTACCTTAATCATCGCCTTCAGCAAAAAGCTTTTTATCATTCTAAATACCAGGACGGACTGCGGTTCCGTAAGCGATTTAACTTCCACCGTTTAACAAATAGGGAGCGCTGGTACTTTTTTTGGTTCCGCAAGATTGATCTAGAGCGATTGAGAGCGGCACTAAAAATCCCGGACAAATTAGTTACAAAACGGCGTGAGAATGTTGGTGGACTGGAGGCTTTGTGTATCACTTCGCGTCGACTGGCGTACCCAGGTCGGTGGTGGGATTTGCGACGACCATTCTGCCGTTCTCCGGCGAGCATGTCCCGAATATTTTATCTCGTTCTGCGCCATATTGACCACAATTTCAGCCAGTTATTACATTCGTTGGATCGTCCCTGGTTAAATGAAGAAAGCCTCACGACGTACGCCGCGGCAATCGAGAAAAAAGGAGGAACGGTTAAGAATTGTTTTGGATTTATTGATGGGACTGCACGGCCAATATGTCGACCAAAACGATTACAACGGGACTGCTTCGGTGGTCATAAGCGCTTTCATTGTCTGAAATGGGCAGTCGGTGGTATCACCGAACGCTAAGAAAGACTTGAATTTAAAATTGTTCTTAAAATTTAATGAAAGATATTTAGTGTGAATAGTTTTCTGTTTCTTGATAATTTTAGAAAATTACTGTATCACTGTAGTAAGTACTGTATTTAACACAATCGCACATAAAAAGTGTTTTCAAGCGGACAGAAATAGTTTCCATTTCAACAGGACTGATCCGCAACTTGTTCGGAGGAGTGAGAAGCACCATGCATGACGCGAGGATGCTGAACGAAAGCGGCTTGCTTGAAAGTCTTCGAACTCAGTTTGCAAATTTTGACGAAAAACTTGTGCTGTACGGAGACAGTGGGTATGGAAAGAAGGATATACTAATTACCCCACATTCCTGAGCCAAGTGTCTCCTGAACGTGCAGAAAGAAGACGACAATTACTTCATGTCTCAAATTCGACAATCTGTTGAATGGAATTTCAAAGATGTGGGCAGTTTGTGGGCCTTTTCAGACTTCAAAAACAGATGAAGTTATTACATGTGCCTGTGGGCCTGTTTTACCGCGTTGGAGTCGTGTTAGCAAACTGTCGTAATTGCTTGTACCCGAACCAAACTGGTAATTATTTCGGCGTGTCCCCGCCTGAACTCAAAGACTATTTACAAACCTGAATTTAAAAAAATCAGGTAAAAACTCGACAATTTCAACAGAATACTAAAACATGAACTATGTACAAAAATTCTGCAATTTAAACGAGAAAAGCAAAAAATCACCGAAAACAAAATTTCACCGTGACAGTTACCACCTGCTGCGTAGGCTATTTTTCAAATGATTTTTGCAGTGAAAGAAGAATTAAATCAAATTTTTTGCTATCAGCCAGTTTCGCCTCTTTATCGGCATCTCATGGTTTTCCCTCCAGCTCAATACGATATCGCTCCAATTCTAGTTCCTGCTGACGTGACTTAAAGTTGTTATCGATTTTTTTTTCCTTCAGCTCTTTTTGATTCTGCAGTTCAAGTTCCTTCAGATCTCGTTCGTTTTTCAACTCCCGTTCACGGATCTTCTGCTTCTCCACATCGCTCGCTTTCAAATACTGGACCAAACTGTCCGACTCATCAGTTCGCCCTCGCTTTACTTTTTTGGTCGCCCCACGTTTTCCTCCTTCACTGTCGCTTTCCCAGCCGTCATCCACAAAAGCAAGTACCGTATTCCGTACAAAGATTTCTAGATTTCGATTTATTAAATTAAAATAAAATATGGCACACACCGATGGAGTATGCTATAAATTGAGATTTTATACTTCATTATATAACATTACGCCATTTTCTGCGAAGAAAATACCTGAGTGTCGTGCCAGCTCGGAGGGATCCAAGGCGCCAGTTTTTACAAGTTCTTCATCCGTAGGCAACGCTCTGTCGCTGTTGCCCGCGAACGTGGAGCCACTTTCTTTGGCGATTTCTGCGTCCACCATTTTCAGCGCAGCCTCTTTTCGCTTTTTCTATTCTGCTTTCTTCTGTACCTTTTCGCGGGTTTTATCTTGCGCACTGTCGATGGCCTGAACTATTTTCGTCAACGGCTCTTGAATGGTACCGTATTCTTCTTCCGAACCGGATTTAACAATTTGCAGCCAATTTTCTTTTCGAAATTCAATAACCAACAAATCCAAACGCTTCTTACATGCGCGAACATCCAAAGGACTTGGAAAAATCTGAAAACGCAGACAGTAGCAGCAATTTGTACACACAATATTAACTCGAATTATACATGCGCTAAATCGTAAATGCTGATTACTGGCTAATAAAAAATGAAATAGTCAAAAAATATTTAGTTCTGAAAAACATACAGTAAGCACAACACAGTCATCTACAGAATACTCGTATTCTTCTACTGTATTCGTCACTTACGGGCACTTTGTTCAGCGTTTCCACGATCTCAGCCCACACCGCTCCTTCGTTTTCTGAAAAAAAGGGATTTTCGTTGTTTACTTCGTCCAGTAGTAAGAGATCTTGTTTGGCGTGGAAGATGCGACGGGCTTGAGGGAGGTCTCCAATTTGGCGGGGAGTAGGCACGGTGCAGAGGAATGAGAGGATACAAAATTACGGAAACAAAAGGCTCAGATGAAGAGTATACACTACTAATAAACACTACTAATACTGAAGCGTATTTTCAAGTCCCCAAGTTTGAAAAGTGTAAGTTTTATGCGCAATTTGTTGTTTTGACTTTATTGCCAAAGTAGACACTGGGCAGTTTTCAATAAGTATTATAACGGATGAATCATGGATGACAAATAAACTGACTAATTATCTGATTTACTTATGATTCATGTACTCGTATAAAAACCTATGTTACGTTATTGTAATCTAACATTCTACGAGCTAACGACTTACGAGCTATCGACTGTACGAGCTGACGTTACTTACGAGCTGTTAGAGGCTTTGAGCAGAAAACACCATAACCATACCTTAACCATCCCTTATCGTGTAGTTGGACGACCGCCATCGAGGTAGCAGTGTACAAAGTACTCAGCGAAGGCGCATAGCTGACTCTGGGTCCCTTCAGATTTAATTTGTTTTCTCGCACTGCGTGAAACGATCTCTTTCGAAAAAATTACATTTACATTCAAAAATGTTTTCTCTATTTAAAAAGTGTATATCTGGGGAAGTTAAATTGGGCAGGTGTTAAGGGGATCCTTTGAAAGTCCATCACCATACGACACGTTTGTATGGTATTCACACTTACCATACGCTCGCACTTAACCATATAGTATGGTTAAGTGTATGGCTATGGTTAAGTGGAGCAGTTGCTCAAAGCTTCTATTCTAATTACTTACGAGCTGTGCTAATAAATTACCTACGAAACGTCCGTGGCCTTTTCTCTTGTTCTACAATAACCACCATCTTAACGTAAACCAATAAGCTTCCTGGAGCGGCACATCGCCAACCCAGTTTGAGTTAGTCAACCTAACGTTATAGTATTATAATTTGTGCAACAGAGTTGCACGATACTGCTATTGCTATTGCATTTTCCAGCACTGGAGATGGGCAGCCAAGTAACCGGGCTGCAGTGCGTTTGACCATAGCCGTGAGGACTGCTATTGCTAATGCTACTGCCATTGCTGGCGCTTGCCCAAATTCGCTAATATGTATATCCAATGTTTTCTCGGCCCTTACTGTTGATTACGCTGCTACATGTTTTCTTGTTTTGTTTGAACTGTCAATGGATCTTGAAAGGGAGCGATTCCTTGTATCCGTAGACATTAAGCAACTAAAAACCTTTGAAAGTAAGGTTCTTAAGTCTTAATAATAAAATTCAGTGCCAGAAAAGGTTGAATAATCTCGAAGGGCAGCGGAGAGTCGTAGCCCCTAGAAGACGTTTCTCGAGTTTCTTGAAAAACATTAGCGGAAAACGAGGTGTGAAAATTCGAGGGATAATATAAGGCTAAGGCTATTTTGCCGCAGTTTTCTGCAGTGCGTCAAAATAGCCTTTTGCTATTTTGCCGCACACTGCGTTAAAATAGCCTTTAGCTATTTTGCCGCAGTATGGTAGGCAAAATAGCCATTTGCTATTTTGCCGCACACTGCGTTTAAACAGCCTTTTGCTATTTTGCCGCACCATGATCGTAGCTACATAATTTGCGACGGAAAACGGTGCGGACCGTACTGCCATCTAGAGCTACATTTTCTCCTGGATTTTACGTATTGCCGTAAGCCGACTTCCAATTGTCTCGCAGGAATTCGTTAAAAAAAGCACATCCTTGGGAAGGCTCTTTTACAACTGGGACAGAATATAGTGCTCGAATCTAGTTGAGAGCGGACGGCTTTCACTGAGTGTATATTCGGAAACGGTTTCTTATGTTTTGTTTTCGTTTTCTTGTGAAGACTATTCAGGTATGAAGTAGAGATGGCAACGGCTTAGCCGAGGCCGGCTTAGCCGGCTATTGGCCAGCCGGCTGACGGTTTTTGCAAGCCGTAGCCGACGTCAGGCCGGCTGCTTAAGTCGGCTGAGACTTCAGCCAGCCGCGGCTTAGCCGGCGGCCGACTCGGCTGAAGCGGCTTGAACGGCGGCATCGTTGTGCAGTTTGTGGCGGTAAAGATGGCGCCACCAAGTCACTTTGCGTCACATTTTCTTCGGTTTGCGCCTAATTTCTGTCGCTTTCGCTCGTGATATTGTTAAACGCGGCCGTCATGATGTCATTTCACTAGCAATGACGCCATTAACTGTACAAAATTATGGAATTTTAACTCTTTCAGACTCGGAATTCCCGATAACCGCTAATTTTTTGCTAAAAAGTTTTCGAAAACCGTGCTTTTACAACATAAACGGAACAACTTCTAATTTTTGGTGATTTAACTGCACTTTGCAACGTTATTTTCAAAATTTTGCGAATTTTTTCCGAATGGAGAATATAAACGGCTTAGCCGGCCGCCAGCCGGCTAAGCTGGCTGGAAAATTTGGTCAGCCGCTCTAGCCGGCTTAGACTTCCAGCCGCGTTGAGTTAGCCGTCTAAGGGCTTCAGCCGGCCGTCAGCCGAAAGGTCAGCCGTTTAGCCTGCCGTTGCCATCTCTAGTCTGAAGATTTTCATTTCTTATGTTTTTTTATGTGTGATACGGTTAGGTTCTCAGTACTCAATTGTGACAGTGACTTCTTGTCATTAAAAGAGAAACATTATGGTTACAGTAACACTACAAAAACTGCTTAAACAGATTTGCGTGCAAAATGAACTAAATCAATCAAAATTTGCGTATAACGAGAACTTAGATTACACGGGGCACATTAAAAGTTTCGGCAAACCCTAATTTCCGCACAAAGATACGTGGGCCGAAGTGAATTGCTGGCGAAATGAATGACGGCCGAAGTGAATCGCGGCCGAAGTGATCGGTAGCCACGATGGCAGCTTCATGTGCCAACGTCAAACTTCATCAGCACAGCTTTCCATGAAATAACGTCCCACATAGTCTGCTTCTGCCGCTCAACGTGGCGCTTTTTTTTGACTTTCGGAATTTCCCCGGCGTCCGCAAACGATGCGACTTGCTGTGCTTACGCTTCAGACAGGTGACACAGTACTTGTCAACCTGCGTCGAAACGTGGCCCCAGTAGCATCGCGTCCAGTGTCTTCTTCATTCCGACGCAGTTGGCCGTGTTCTCGTGCGCAGGAACTGGATAATGTTTTAGCGCATGAAATTTGGCTCGACAAACCGTCGCAGCAACTTGCAGCTGATCCAGTTTACGGCACAGGAGGCCCTCCCACATAACGTAGAGGTCCCGCAGCTTCAACGTCTTTTTCTTGGGCTCCAGGTGTTCCATCTGGTAGATGATTCTCGCGGGTGTCGGGTCACGATAATGAATACTGGGATCGCGTGTCGTCGCGTCTTAGTCCGTGCCGTCCAAACATGTCGATTTCCAAAATTTCGGCGTGTCTGGACGGCGGCGGCGTATTTGGTTTGTAGAATCGACGGTCGGATACGCCAATTTCAAAATTTTCTGCGAGGCCGACACGTTGTTGACTCGCCCATTCACGGTGCCCATCTCGCGCCAGTCGGCGATTGTAGCCGGCAGGATGGTGGACGGGTGGATGGTGGCTGTTCAGTGAAGGTCATCCACGTTTCTGCAAAGGTCACCCACCTTTCTCATCCACCTTTTTGTAAAGGTCATCCACCTTTTTTTAAAGGTCATGAACCTTTCTGGAAAGGTTATCCACCTTTCTTGTAAGGTCATCCACCTTCTTGTCAAAGATGTTGAATCTCTGCTTTCTGATAATCTGTATAAAGCTTACTTACTGCAATTGATTTTCCAGTCATTTCTACCCTTTTTGGTAAATACTTGTAACTCTCGTACCAATATAATTTAATCTTTTTATTGATCGTATGCTCCTTTTCTGCCAAGCGGTTTATAGTATCCGCTGATGATTGAACCAGCGTCGGCGCCATGGTGCGCATTTGGAGTTATTCAGCCATATGTATAACAAATCCCGCAGTAATATGCTGGGAGCGGCCGTCAAGCGCCCAGAGGAGACATTCGTCCCACTGCACAAGACAATAAAAACAAATAAATTAGAGTCTGTCTTGTATTATATACTGTGAATTATGTGTGTGAATGCGCAGAAATGTGAGTATTGCAGTGCTCTAATGCTGTTGCAATTCTTTCATTTATTGATAAAATCTTTAACAAGATACTGATTATTTTTGAAAATTATTAGCTTCTTCGCTGAATCAGACATACGAGTATTCGTTAAAAAGGCGCCGAAATTTTTTTATACAAACCTGTTCAAGAAAAAGTGTTGGATGCGGTTTAATCAAACATGACGATAATTGCGTTACTGAGGTAACTGAAGGAAGAGCAGCAAAAAACACGAATTTGGCAATCATCAGTCAGTTCGAACAACAAAATCAGTTAAGAGAATATCATTAGTTTTTAGCTTTGCACAGGTTGCAAGAAGCGTTCCACCGCTTAGCCTTCCTGCTGGACTTCTTATACAAAGCTCTTAATTCTTGCAAAATTAACAGACATTTTTCAAAATATTTGGCGCTGTTATTAACGAAAATCGGTATCGTCTTTCATCAGTAAATAAACGGTTTGCAAAAGCGTTGCACGACTGCATTAAAAGCATCTCCGCGCATTAACCGCTTGATAGTCGCTGCTACAACTGGATGGAACTGGATCGAACGTAAATAACCGAAGACAGAAGAATTGATGACCTTTACAGAAAGTTGGATCACCATCGGCAGAAAGGTGCCGCCGAAAGAAGAACGACCTTCGCAGAAACAAAGATGACTTTTATGCAGACGATTAGAAAGCAAAAGTTCGACATGTTTGACAATCGACAGAAAGGTGGATGACTTTCGGCAGAAAGGAAGATAAGAAACGTGGATGGCCTTTGCAGAAAGGTGGATGACCTTCATTGAATATCCACCATCCACCCGTCCACCTTCCTGCTGGCTACAGGCGATGACGTTATCGCCGGGCAGCTGGCTTTGGTTTTGGATTCGGCGGGTTGACTTCGTCCTTTTAATCCTTGAAGTTTAGAACCTGATCCAGTACCTCCACCAGTTCGCCTTCTTGCCCGGGTACAGGCGTCCTCACCCATTTTGGCAGTGTTTCTGAGTCGCAGTTCTGATCTCCCGGGGGTTCGGAGAGAACCAGATGATATTAATCTTGAGACAGTACCGGATGTTAAAAAGACTTGCCTTGTCACCAATTAGCTAAGAGATGATCTCGATTTTTAAACAAATTCTAGGTGCACGAAAGGCGACCACGGTAGACGGGTCGGGAGGTATTGTGTTGCAGGTGGCGTTCGAGTTTCCTGGTGTAGCTTGTCAATAAACGCTTACCTGTTGGCAGTCTAAGGTTAAAATGATGTAAGAGAGGAATTATGATCATGTAAACATAAAATAAAAAATCTGGGTTATGTCAAAATTTTTATTAAATCCGTGTCCCGAGTGGTAGTCAGCACCAGCGCTCGGCCGAGCATGTCCATTTCAGTGACTTTTTGTCAGTTCCGGTTAGTGCCCGCTCGGTTGCTTGGCTGGGTTAGTGTCGACCGTGTTACTGCTCTCCATCAGCGTCGGCTCGGCAGTCTCGCCTATTGTTACGACGAACAGCATGTCTGGCGTTCCGGCGGTCATTGTTCCCCGACACGCTTTCTGCTGTATCCGGTGTGCTAATAATTCTGGCTTCCCACTCTCTCTCTCTCTCCTCACCTCGCGTTCACGGCTAGTTATGTTTTGTCGGCGGCGCGATCGCTCTTTGATCAATTCCCTTGAATCCGTTTCTCCTACGTCTTATCGAGGTCGGACCAATCTATATCGGCGGCTGCGGTCTTCCTCGATATAACTCGTCATGTTCATGACTGTGATTATCCGGTTGTCACAGCCTTTCGATCGTTCCTCCTGATTCTGTATCCGATCCCGCATTTGCACTGGGGGTGGATGCCGCACCGTTCGTGTAAGTCGCCGTGGCACGTTTGTAGTTCCCGCACTGTCATTTCGGGTCGCCGGTATGTATCTTCGGCTTGTTGTGCAACCGCGGCCGACCAGTGGTCCCTGCCAGCTGGCCGCTGTGCCAGGTCGAGTCATAATCCAGCCAAAGCAAACTGTTTTCCCGTGGTGACGGATTTTTGCAACGCTACGTCAGGCTGCTGCATCATGATGGCCAGCTGATATATGGAGCCGATCGGCTGTCCGAGCAAATCCTGCTTAGCTGCAGCATCATGCCGGGCGCCTGCACGAATGCCACCAAATACCAGTTAGACGGGGTTTGGCAGCATTCCAGTCAAAAAGCCAGTAGGTGGCGTCCCAAGCTGGTATCCGAAACCGGGCCGGCGTGCCATACTGGACGGGTCGAAGTCGTCGCCCGGATCCGCTAAGTCGGTTGGATTCGTCGTGTCCGACGGACCGTTCCTCGGGACGATCCACCGCCCGGATGGATTTGCCCCCGCAGAGTCCTAAGCCGATCCATACCACTTCGCCACAAATTTTTCTGTCCTGCCCGGGTCGTCTTGTTAAAGGTCTTGCCGGTATCATCGGTGTCGTCGTTGAAACATTAGTCCTAGACTTCCTGCAACATGCGACAATGAGCATCGCGGCAGGATCTGGAAGAAACTGGTCCTCAGCAGGTCGTTCGTACGGTTCCGTGTTAGGGTAATAAGACGAGAGTGAATCGCCTTCCCCGATTATAGACTGCAGCTGCTTCTGCTCGGCTTGGCCGTTGGTTGGCTGCCGTATAACCGTCGGCTCAACCCCTGAGCACAGCTGGGGAAGGGGGGGGGACAGAAAGTTCCTTCGCCGAGGCTGCCTTCTTTTCCGTCACCACCAGGCTTTTCACGGTGGCCTGTCGCCGATGTATCTCAGAGCTAGTTCTCCAGTCCGGATATCATGTGCCGGATTGTCAACAGGTCCGACTTTAAGCCAACCGCCCCTTTCGCTAACTGGAAAACCTGTATTTCCTGAATTGCAACACCTTGTCCGAATTAGTATGGACGGATACTAGATTTGATCAACGCGGCAGAGCCCGACAGGGAGCTCGGCCAACCTTCTGACGGACAATCCGACAAAACCATTACCGCTCGTCACTGTTCGCGCCGGGTTGCACCCGTTTCGCCGGTTGACGGAAGTGCGGAATCGATTTTTAAGGCAAAAGAACGACGACTCGACCCGACTGATCCGATTTTTCAAACCCCGGTCGGGCAGTATTTTCCAGTGACCAGGCCGGAGTACCCGGACTGTGTACTCCGGAGACCAAATGTGTGGTAATTGAACGCAAAAACCAGAACGCTCGGATGCGATTCTCAAAGAAAACCGACGATTCTTGATGAAAAAAGCAAAAAACATTGGGTGGGTAAAATTTACGCCAGACGGAACTTACTGGACGGATTAAAAACTTGATCGTCTAGCAGACGTGTGGATGCTATGAACGTTTGCACGCGTAAATGGAATCCCAGAGCACTGCAGCGCAAGCACTACGCTACCGATTTCTCCGTAGACGGATAGTTATCAACAGCTACTAAAATTATTCAATGTTAACCAGAAACTGCGGCAAAATAGTGAAAGGCTACTTTGCCACCCATACGGCGGCAAAATAGCTAACGACTATTGTAACGCAGTGTGCGGCAAAATAGCAAAAGGCTATTATACCGACCATAGTGCGGCAAAATAGCTAATGGCTATTTTGCCGCAAATACTGCGGCAAAATAACCACTTCGATAATTTTATAAATTCATGTAATCTCCAGACGACTGTCTTGGACCACTAGCAACGCTCGGCGTGCGAAGTGTCGTATAATAATGGGAATGAGACGGTAGATGGTCTTCCAACAATCTGTGAGTATACGCGCCACCCTGATAGCCGAGATCAAAGGAATAATGGTAGCCGATACCGGGGATAGGATTTACAAGATCACCAACTCCAATTACATTGCGTCCCCGTAGGTCGGGCGTTGAAATGTTGACCTGGTTACTGTACGGGATGGTTCTCAGGACTTGGCACAATCGCCCGTAATTGCTACAGTTAATAGTGGTTCCGTTGCAAAGCAGCCAGCCCACTGGAACGTCATTCCCGGAGAACATTTGAATTGATCCAGTGGGAATAACGTTCGCGGCTGTTTGGACTGATTGCGCCAGCAGGTTGATGCGACTTGTTAGCTGCGCCGCCGACCGGGCAACACGTACCTGAACGCTGGTCACAGTGGCGGAGTTTGAAGACGAGCGATATTGGTGCGGACGAGTTGCATCGGCTTAACGGTGAACCGTTCTCCGCTCCAGTGGCTTTTGCTGCTGGCTTCGACCATGGTGGCTATGAACTGCTCTTTCTCGTATTCGCTAGCGAACGAGTTGGAATCCGCAAAGGCCAAGTTCATTGATGCCGAGGTACCAACAACCAAAGGAATGCCGACGCTGACGCTTCCACCGCCGCTGGAACTACTGCTTTGACTTTTGGCTAGCTCGTCCCTTATTTTTGCCTTCATCTGGTCATCCGATTTGTCATAGAATTCGTTCAGCGTGCTGGTGACTCGGTCGGGGCGGGTGTTCTCTTCTTGCCAAAAAACTGAGTTCCACATTTGCTCCTGTAACGGCAATGTCAAGTATTCCTGTCAAGTATAGTATCCCCGTGCTACCAAACGCATGGTATTTCTACAACATAAATATTGTGCGATACGAATTTTCTGGATTCTTGTGCCTGTAATCGTAGCCGCTTTGGTAACCTTGCTATCTTTATGGCAGCTTAATTGTGGGTGGAATTTCTGGGTAATGTATGAGCCTCCACTTGGAGAGTGACAGAATTTGACGTTTCGAAAGCGTTACCTGGAAAGATGCCGAAGATTCTGGTTTCATTTGCATTAAACTTTCCAGGATGTTGGTGATGGTCAGTGACTGGTCTTGTCCGATGAACTCGTCATCCACAACCTCGGTCGCCATAACATTGGTGGCAATTTCCAAGGTCATCTGAGTGAGGTCATCGGCCGTCATGTACACCACATCCGTATCGGGGACCTGCTTTTTAAGTTGGCTGAACAGTCTTCCGGCCTGCACATGCTCTGCTTTTACTTGGATAATTCGACACGCACTGCGAACGTTAATTAAACTATACGAAATCTCCAGGTCATAAACGAACAACTGTGGATTTTCCTTGACTTGATCAGCTAGTCCATCGCATGTTTCTTTGTTTATGCAGCTGAATCGGAATTCAAAGGTCGACGGCTGTGCGGCATAGGACACCCAATTGTTGACTATCTCGTATTTGCTCGGTGCAAAACCTAGAAAAATACAGTGAGTTGACATAACACCGTACAATAATTTGATAATGAATTGCAGGATTAGATAACGGTACTATGTGTTTTTGTAGCATTGATTGTTAACAAGCAGAGCTATTATTTTGTTTGCACTTTGCACTTATGAAGCTAGCAGCGGTAAATGTTATCTCCAACAGAATTTTCCTGTCATCATGTGGTGCTCCTACAACTTACCTAGAGCGTCAATGCGGATTTGTTCGATGGGCAACACACGAACGCTCTCCTTTGGTATCCAGTAGCCCAGTCTTTTGCTCACCGCCTCTCGAATGAACTCTTCATATTCGTCGTCCCACATAAGAACCGAGAAACTCATTTCCGCTCGGTTTTCTTGGAGAGTATTCGCGTAGCTCTTGGCGCTATTCGGGTCGATGAACAAGGCCGCTGGAAAAAAATACTGCGCTGCCCCCGTTGCGGTAGCATCCGCTGTCTTATAGATATTAATTCGGTAGCCATGATATGTTGCTGACAAAAAGGCGTTGGGGTTAACCGCTACGTCCCCCCAGCCGGTAACCGCTTTATTCGATGCAAGCGCAGCTAAAAAGACAAATTACTAGTATTGTCCTTAAAGCGTCCGAAGGCTGAAGCTGAAGCACGGATAAGATTTCGACATAAAAATGTTTTTCTATGGCTTGACCTTTAAGCAGTAATCGCACAGTTATTTTGCATAATCATCAATTTTCATGTAAAATATTTTGCAGTCAGGTTTGACCTTTAGACAATAATCGTCCGGTTACGTGTTACCTCGTGCAACGCTCGATCTGACTCGTGGTGGCTCAACATGTCCCGCAAACACGAAAGACACCGGAATTAAACTAACACAGAGTGCCACGCACAAACGTTTCGCCATGGTAGACAATTGGAGAGTTTAATTATATGCGTGAGCAGTAATGATAGTGTTATTATGGATCTAAAGCCCTTTATACAAGGTTAACCCACTAAAGTTTATCGAAATGGATGCAAGATATTTCAAGGACAATTGTGCTCTTGTCGATGTACTTCCATGAATCATCAAACTGCAGGACAACGTTAACGGGGAAAGGAGCGAAATGGATAATAGTAATATCTTCGCTGGGCAACATGGTAGCTCTTATCGACCTTAGCAGATACAACTGCTTGAATTTAATAACAAAGCGCTGGAGATAGTGGGTTAGCAGCATTTTTCAACCAACAATGACGCGAGATATGGGATTTTGCATTGTTGCCAATCTACGTTGTCCAAATATAATTACGGTTGACGTAACAGTGATAAACAGTAGCTGGCTAATGGCAGTCGTAGAAAAACCCGATTGTTCGGTTTTGCTGTGTACTGGCTTTGATAGGCAGTAGCCGATAGAGAAACGGAAAGCAACTGTGGTCGTTTCCTGACTTCAGAACATCTTAAAGTTGCTTGGTATGTGCGGATGCATAACTCGATTGCCGATGCCGTTACCTATTTTATGTCGATTGCATGTGAATAAGTTGGTGCGATGCATGCAGGTCTTCCCATAAGGAAATTGGCAGAAGTTATTTGCCAGAAAAGGAGATGCTTCTCCTGCTTTGACAGATACTTTTTATTTATGTTTGCTCAGCGACATAGCAGTCAGCCATTCCACTACGGCCAGCATTGCACAATCAATTGCTTTTATATCTTTTATATTCAACATTTAAACTTAGACTGTGCTTTAAAATGCGTGGAACACGTTGAGCGCAGTCGAGTCTATGCATTCAGGACTTATCCATACCATCGGACACATGCTGATTTGCGTCAACCGCATCTTCGCCATCGTCACGCCGATTTTATATAAACGCTATCATACCAAAAAACTAGCGTACTGGATTTCCAGTTTACTCATTCTTGCGGCGATTATAATCACCATTCCCGGTGTGGTGATGGACGCGCAGTTATACCGCACCCCAATGGCGGATAACCGCTGCTCCATGATGTTCGCATCCGCGTCAATGCAGCTGTGGTCCACGGTGTACGGAGCGTTGTTCTATAATAGACCAGATGCGCATAGGCGCTTCGGGGACTTACAACGTTTTTCACCCTTTACATACAGACATCGAACGCAAAACCGGCCCGCGCTCAAGCTCTGACTCTGACTCAGACTCTGACCGCTCAAACTCTGACTCTGACTACTCAAGGTCTGGCTCTGACTCTGACTGAATAACCTAAGAATAACTTAGGAAACCTAAGAAACCTAAGAAACCTAAGAAACCTAAGAAACCTAAGAAAACCTAAGAAACCTAAGAAACCTAAGAAAACTAAGAAACCTGAGAAATCTAAGAAACCTATTAAGAAACCTAAGGAACCTTCAGAGTCAGAGTCAGACTTTGAGCGGTCAGAGTCAGACTTTGAATAGTCAGAGTCAGAGTTTGAGTGGTCAGAATCAGACTCAGAGTCAGAGTTTGAGTCTAGGCCCGCAAAACCGCGCCGTTTACGCGTCTTGCATGTATGTATGTACGGGCTAAACTCGACCGCATGCGCACACCAGTCAGGACATACAGACTGACATTAAAATATGCGTGCTGTACTGACATTATAAACTGTAGCACTACATTTCTAAAAGTTAAACAATGACATATAACCGGTCGCATTCTCCATGCGGCGTGTTATCCACTGCACCATGCGGCCGCTGCAGGTCACACTTGCTCTCAGCGCCTAGCTGGTTATCCAGTATTTCAGAGTGATTGTATTCATCAACGCGGGAGTTATCCTCGTCATCACTGCTACCAATGTAAAACTTTACCGGCATCGTTAATCTCCATTCATCGTTGCCAGCATCTACTACTACTGTAGAAACGTTCTTTTCCTCGTCAGCTGCAGGTACTGCGTTGCTTGTGTCACATCCACTCATTGGTACAGCTTTCATCGCGCTTGCGCAGGTTAATTCAAACTGCTCTTCAGCACCGTTGGATACCTTCACTCGCTTCGCCCGCATCTCCGTGCACGCCGGCACGCGCGATTCCGGTCGCTCTTTAGCAGTCAGATTTTTTGCCATTATATAGTTATCCGGTCCCATGAAGCAATTGTCGCCCACATCCACCACGATTCCAGGAATCATCGATACATCGTATCCAATTACACAATCATACCGACTGATGTTAGACTCAGATACATAAAACAACATCTGACCTTTCGCACCGCACAGCTCCACTTCCAAATATACATGGCCAACTGCATGCGTCACCGTACCATCAGTCATCGTGACCTCCACGACTTCCGATGTGACGTCCACTCCCAGACCACGGATAGAACTCGAATTAATAAAAGAAATGATACTTCCAGTATCCACTAATGCCGTGGCTGCCATGCTCTGAATACGGACTGGCACCACTGACACTGGACCGCACCGCTCCGTTGGCTCCGTTGCTGGTTCACATGGCACGCCTGCTGCCGCTGCCACTACCGGTAAGCTTTGCGCATGGTCAACGCTGCGCTCCCATCCCGTTACTTTCTCTGTCCCGTCTGGTTGCTCACGCGCGCTACCGCATGCCTCCAAGCGCTCAACGCTTTTATGCTGCAGTTGCTTTACCGGCAAATGTCCAGACCGATCTGGATGCAATGGCGCTTCAGTGCCCAGCCGCCTGCACACCTGCCGCGTTGCCTGCACTTCTGCCGCCGATTTTCTCACCAACTGTTTCTCATGTATGGAGTTCCGATGACGAGCCGCCCCGCGGCGCCCAGCTTCGCCGGTCACTGGTGGGCGCAGGCCTCCCGCCGCAGCCTCCTCCAGTTCGTCATCTGCAACAACAATAACACGCCGGTTAATACTGTGAACAACATCACCAGTATCCACTCCGGTGTTCCTCCTCTCTTCAGTCTTCGCAGACCGGCTATCCGACACATCCACCATGGTGTTCATCATCGCCCGGTTATACGAATCACCCCGCATCGGCAACGCGTTCCATCCATACATTGCTGCACCTTGAGCTTCCTTCTCACCGGCGCCACGCACAATCATGGAATTAGCCTGCGCGCTGCTTGTATGCACTGTATCTTTGTTCACTGTACAGTTACGTACTAAATGGTCCGGACTGTCACAGTTGTAACACCGCCTACCGGCACCTTTGGATCGGCTCCCGCTTCCACCGCCCCGGTTGCCGCCGCCTTGCCCAGCGCCTCCAGAACTGCTGCTACCTCAGCCTCCCTGCTCAGTGCTGTCCTCGTCGCTGCTGCTTCGCTCGGCACCACCGTGACTGCTGCGGTTGCGCTCCCCCCACTTGTTAAACTTCTTATCGTGCTTCTCCTGCGTATTGCCGGAACCGGTTGTCGCTGCATCGTGTCCGCCTTGCTCGCCTTGACCGCCGTGACCTCCCTGCCAGCGGTTCTTCTTCTCCAGACGGATGGCCTCACCCACACGTTGAAGATCGGACAGGTATTCGACCGGCGTCGCTGCCTTGGACAATGCTGCACGTGACACGTATTCCGCCAATAAACCATTACGCAGTTTACTTATGACTGTTTCATCATCCATATCTCTGTCATAACGGTAGCATAAATCAACCATCTCGTTATAAAAATCTTCCAGCGGTTGATCACGTCGTTGCTTTAAATTACTGATCTGAATTTTCACTTGGTTCTTAAAGTCCGCTGTTTGGAACCGCGCTGTCAGATTCTGCTTAAAATCTCTCCATGTAGCGTATGGCTTCACGGTACCTTCTTTGGTAACACGATCCCACCAGATTGCTGCCGATGATGCCAACAACACTGATGCCTGCGCGATCCTCCGCTTGTCGTCCCAATCCTGCGCTAACGCAACGGTTTCGAAACGGCGGCACCAAGCGACCACATCCTCCTTTGCGTATCCAGAAAACTTCACCAAGTTTCGTGACATGCCGCCTTGAAGATGGTCCAGCTCCGCCGCCACTTCTCGCGAATTCAACACTTGATCCGGCATCGTCGATGAAGGTGTAGTCACTGATGACGTAGTCTCCGTTGACTGATCCGACATCCAACGCTGTTGAACTGCTGCTAGTTGCACGATAACGCACTTACAGTATAGGACAACGGCAAAAATAATCCGGAAATTCACAAATAAATCCACAGATCCGTTCAAATCACAATGCACAATGCACGATGTACACTCACAAAAACTGCCAGAACACAAGTCGGAAATTCACTGTAGAACTTACTCGTCGTCCTGACACACACTGTTCAGCTTAAAGGTTAATGGATAAATCCAAACTCCTACGCCCTTTAAGACGGTTTCGGCACCATATGATAGACTCGTAACCGTACACTGCGCAATAACTGGTTGTTAACGTTTTAATGATTAACGGATAACAGAATAAACTCCAGATCTGGTGTAGAATAATGATAATGTGTAAGCATTAACAAGCGATTAAATATGATCGACAGAAATCACGTATCCTTCCGTACAGATCAGACGAAAGTAGTATGTGCACTGGTCCGGCAGCATCTCTGATTGGTCGAAACCGAGACTGAGGCCGAGACAGGGCCGCTAGTCCGGCAGCATCTCTGATTGGTCGAAACCGAGACTGAGGCTGAGACAGGGCCGCTAGTCCGGCAGCATCTCTGATTGGTCGAAACCGAGACTGAGGCCGAGACAGGGCCGCTAGTCCGGCAGCATCTCTGATTGGTCGAAACCGAGACTGAGGCTGAGACAGGGCCGCTAGTCCGGCAGCATCTCTGATTGGTCGAAACCGAGACTGAGGCTGAGACAGGGCCGCTAGTCTGGCTGCTTCTCTGCTTGGCTGACTCCACCTCCAACACCGAGACTGAGGCCGAGACAGGGCCGCTAGTCTGGCAGCATCTCTGATTGGTCGAAACCGAGACTGAGGCCGAGACAGGGCCGCCTGGGCCAGTCTGGCTGCCTGCTCACTGCAGTCCAGATTGAGAGCGGAGACCAAACCCGGATCTAGTTTCTAGGTCATGTTTACCAAGACTGGCACCGAAACAGGACCGCTAGTCTGGCTG